CCTCGCCCAGCAGCTCCGCCAGCAGCCCCGGAGGAGACGCCGCCATCCTCGGCCACCCCTTCGCCTTCCCTTCCCTCCCCGGGGGGAATGGCTCCGCTCCGGCGGCGGCAGTGGGAGAAGCCACGCCCACCTGGCCAGGCCCCGCCCCCAAGAAAGCCGCGCCCACCTCTGTAAGCCACACCCACCCACCCCCGAGAAGGGAGGGAGGGGGGAAACCCTGAAAGACCTGAAAAGGGGGTGGGGGGGGGAAGGAGGGAGAGAAAAAGGAAATCCTCTGTAGCTTTTTTTAAAAACATCATTTCCTCCTCTTTCCCCCCCCTTAATCTTCTCAAGCTTGGGAACCTTTTCCTCTCTTGGGGACTCCAAGGCCCATGATCCCCTGGCCGGTGGAGCCCCAGAGCCTGGGAACGGGGGTGGTGGATTCTTTTTGCACTCCAAAGCCCACGTGCTCCTCCAGGCCCCCTTTCCCCCCCACCACCACCCAAGGCTTCTTGCAAGAGGGCAGAAATCTCTGGGGCTCTTGCCTTTTGGTGGATCCCGGAGCCCATCATCCCCTGAGGCAGGCCGTGGGTTATATGGAATGAAACACAGACGTTTCTAAGTGTCTCGTCTCATTTGTCAAATCAAGGGCTACATTTTAAACAAAGCCTGAAATGTTAAATACTCTTCCACCATCCATGAGATGGTAATTTAACTTGTTACTTAAAGCACTTTCTCCCCTTCTTCCAGAGTTGGTCGGGGGGGAGCCCTCTCACCATACTCCTGAGCATGCACAGAGTGCCTACGTATTTTTGTAGCACATCAAGAGTGCATAATCTTTTTTTCCCCCGCTTATCATGCTGACACTTTGAGGTCAAGTTCACAGCACTCACCCCAGCCGCTTCGTTTGGTACTGAAAATACAACGGGGCTCACTTGCCGATCTCACCATTTTTTTCAAAGGCTGTCGAAGGATTTCATTCTGCGTCTTCTCTCTCTGTACTCGCCGCCAGGGATTTAAGGCGATCCCGTAAACATCCAGATGTTTGCCCTCCCTCCATTAGGAGATGCTTTCCAAAATAACATTATGTACGTAGATCACACTTATTAAAAATCCTTTTTCCTTCTTCTTCTGCCCAGGAGCCACTCCTTAGAAACACTTCAAAGGGAATTGGCCTTCTAGATTTTAATTTTTCCCACCCCTGCTGCTTCTTTAAAAAAAAGCAGCTGATCACAACCAAAGAATTTTTCTTTCTTTCTTTCTTCAGTTGCCTGTTAATAAACAAAATGCTTGACCTGTTTAGGTTGCCGATCAAGCCAGCTGTCCCTTTTCCCCCTTCAAAATAATCACTTCCATCATCTTTCATAAACTATGTGTGTAGCTCCTTGAGCACGACATTCAGCTGCAAACCTCAGGACCCTTTCTGTGCAGGTCAGGTATAGCCAAGACCCCAGGAATAAATATAATAATACATAATAAGTAATAAATATAATTTTTCCTTCAGAATCAATCAGCGGAGTGGATGAGATTTGTATGGCTCCAGTGACACCTAGTGGCCCAAGGAAGCATTGCAGCGGGATTACCAACTTGCATTTATTTTTTAAATTCATTTTATTCAGGTTTTTATCTCCCTTTTATTTCCTTCTGAGTTTAACACCAGTAGAGGTTGATTTGTTTTCCTGTATTTCAAGGATCTGCAGCCAAACCAGAAATGTGGCATATAAATAAAACTAAACTAATAAAATGTAGCAATAAACGACAACGTGCCTTCAGATTTGAGCAGGTTTTAATTTTGCATCAATTTCCCATTGAAATGGGCTGAAAGCACAAAGCTTTGGACACGTATACATGTCGCATCTTTAATGGAACAAAAACATTTTTAGGGGGGAAATTGGCAAATGGGGGGGTAGCTGGCAGGCCACATCTGGCCCATCCTGCATATAAATCAGTTCTCACTGATTTTCAGCCATTTTTTTCCAGCTGGGTGATCATCAAGCAGAAATATATATATTAATGGGCACCTAATCATGCCAAGACTGATCGTTTTATCATAGCTGGCTAGCTTTCCCCAAGTATCCCTGCCATATGTGTACGACTACAATACCCATCAGTCTTGGCCCCTCACCAGGCTGGCTGAAGATGACTGAAACAAGGCTAAGGAGGAGGAGGGTTTGGTTCTGCCATCCTTCCCGCTACTCAAATAGTCCCAGCGCTTCACCCCTGCAAGCCACAGATGGGCTAAAAAGCATTACTTTTCTCTCCAGCAAAGGCAGATTAGAAAGGGTTAAGGCCACCTGCTACAGGTAACGAACCTGTAATTAACGCCATAAACATGAGTGGAGGTAAAGCTACAGTTAAGCAGGTAAAAAAAGGGGGAAAAATCTGCTATTCAGTCCTTAAGAAAACCTTATTTATTCGTAAAAACCCCAAACCGTCACAAAACACAGAATTACGAAAAATTTAGGGACCATGGAAGGCACCGTTTTCGGCCAGCCGGCTTTCAGTTTGTCTCAGGCGCCTAGACTCAACCACTGTCATTTGGTTTTGCGATATAGTAAGTTCTCAGGAAGGGTTTGTTAATTAACATTCTCAGGCAGTGGATAAAAGAGTCAGCGGATAATGATCCCGTGGATAGAGGGATCCTACGGGACCAGTGAATTCCAGCCGGTAACATTCAGCTTTGAACTTCGGGCCAAACTTTTAACTAAAGTGGCTTTCAACAAGTTTCGGTCAATGGCCGGATCCAGGCCAAAACAAACCACTCACGTCGGTCTGGAGAAGGTGCCCTAGCCGGCCTTAAAGGAAGAGTTTCTAGGCCAATGGAGAAGATTCTGGAAACCTCTCTGACGGAGACGGGGCCGTCTCTGGCCGGAAGAGAGCCATCGGCTCCTGACTTTCACCCACTTCAGGTCCCTGGTTTCTATCTGTTGGGCAGCAGGAGGCGGATTGTGACCCCGATGATCAGGATACCGACGGCCGACGCCAGAGCCAGCCCGCGGCGAATGGCCAGCTCTTTCCCAGACAGGATTTCTGCTTGCGGGGGCTCTTCCGACAGGATGAACTGGTGCTCCGGCACCATTTCGCTCTCGTGACCCGCGTCGCTGAGCGCGTCTCCGTTGGGAACCCCAGGTTCGGTCGCCAGATAGGCTATGGGGCAGAAAAGGGAATCTCGTAAGGTCGGGGAGGACCTCAAACCCTGAGGTCGAATCTGGCCTATGAGGGTCCCCCGGCTCGTTCTCGGCTTCCCCGCAAGATCTCCCCGTTTGCAAAGTTCAGCAACTTTAAGCTGAAACACAGCCGCCCCATCTCTTCCCCCTCTGACCCCCATCGGCCACCAGGGCCTCCGGAAATGTCTCCGGCACCGCTTTCAGCCCCTTGGGGCAGGCAAAACAGGAAAGAGAACGGTGTTCAATTTGGCCAATTATGGGTTCCGTTGGTTGGGGGTGGAACAGTAAGACCCCTATCATATTTTCAGACCACGGATAAGTGAATCAGTGGATACGGGAGTCCTACTGTACTTTTTTTTAAAGTACAGGATAGATTTTCAGGCAGCCTCTTTAAAATGATTTTTTTGGGGGGGACACACCATTTTGACAATGTGGAAAGGCATTCACCCCCTTTGCTCTTTTCAACCAGGAGTAACGGCCTTAATGTCATGAACTTCCCCCCATGAAAAGGTACCTAAAGAAACAGGTTTCTCAATAGGGTTTTCTTTGGCGTCAGTCACAGTTTGGAGCCTGGCTATCAAGCCTGCACGGATTTGGGCCTAGACGTGAGTGGGATAGAGAGGGGAAAAAAGAAGATCATGGCTAAGCAGACAATGCAAAAAAGCCTCAACACCCCAGCCAAAGATTCCAGCAACACGCTGACGGAGCAAAACCCATCAATTCAAAGTTTAGACGGCAGTGCCAGGAGGATCAGCCCACACCAAAAATCTGGGAGCAGGGTCCTCCAAAATCTCAATGTTTAAAATCCTTCTCAGCCCATAAGCAATTATTCCCTGGGGAAAAAACAGCCATTTTGAAAGTGTTATCGCGTTCAAAATCTAACGCGTTCTTTCCAAACTCTAGCGCAGGGCGAGACGAGAGTAAGATGCTGGCTTTTGCAGGTTTTAATCCGAGACCTTTCCACCCAAAAGGAGGTCCCCCTCCCCACAGCACCTCAGATCCTGGCTCTTTCCTCTCGGCGCGAGAAAAATACCCAAAACCCTATAAAAAGGCCAGCATCGGTTTTTCAAATTCTTACCTCCTCAGCCGATTTCTTCCAGTCGGTTCGCAAGACCACGATCAGGAAAGAAAAAGCCTGCAGGGAGATGCAGACAATCAAGCCGGTCCAGAGTCCTGGAAGGAAAGGGAGGGGGGGAAAACCCTATAATCAAGGGACTGTTCAGAAAACCAACGCTCCGTGGGTCTCAGCCCCCTTATGTTTGGCTTTAGAAGTCCAAAAGCCGAAACCTTATCACCGGAGACGCGCCAACGGAGCGACCGTGGACAGCGAACGGATTTCAGCTTCCACATTCCTCTCTACATCCTGTGATTTCCCCCTTCCCACCCCCCAAAATTAAAAAAAAACTTAAAAATCCCAAAATGGGATTTTTCTTTCCTCCACTTAACCTGTACCTTCCGAGTACTACCAACAGCAAAAACGTTTTGAAATGCAAGAGGAGGCCCCGTTTCCAGGGGACGATCCATTCCAACCCCCCCATCCCGTGGATGCTGAAAAATACCAATATTATACATAGCCACAGTCTTTGTCTCTCTCTCTCTCTCTAGTGGCCTGTTTTGGCAACCTCATCGTTCAATATATATATATATATTTTGGGAGGGATTTTTCTTTTACTATTTTCAGACTGCAGATTAAGTGAATCAGAAAACAGGGATCTGGTGGATAAAGGGGCCCTGACTGTATTTTGGTGGGAAAGAGGGATTCCCTTAATAACTCCTCTATCTAACCCTAAACTAATTGGATCGCTAGGGAGTTCTGGTTACTGCAGTCCAGAGGAAGTAACTCTGGCCCATCTCGGCTCTTTTCAAGCACAGGACACTCACCCATTACTCCCAGGTTGTACCCGAACATAAGCGTGATCCCGATGGGCAAACCGATGGCATAGTATCCGATGGCGTTGGCCAGGGCCCCGATCTTCTGCTTCCCAGCGCCTCGCAGGATCCCACCGCACGTGGCCTGTGTATTTGGGGGGCGGGATTGAAGCAGAGGAGTGCATGAAAGGAAAGACGGCTGCGAGGGATAGCAGTTAGAGCCTTTGGCTTGAGCTATCCGGGCGTGAATATCTTGGGGGGGGGCGCTAGGCCAGTCTTTCGCTCAGCATGGCCCGCCTCACAGGGGTGTAATGACAGAAAAAAGGAGAGTCAGGGAGAACCGTGTGGGTTTTAAGCTTATTTGAGAAAGGGTGGCGCATGCACACGGAGCAGACTCCCAGGCAGTCGGCCACGCTCCTGTTTGGCCCACGGATGGATTACTAACAACTCCGAAGAGTTCAAACCTCCTCTGTCGTGTCTCTGGATGATCCCCCGCTCGGCTCCTGCTTCTACAGCTGTTGCCCAGCTGCTCCTGCATCTGGCGCAGAGAGATTGCTGGATGGCAGAGAGATCAGCTGAATGGTGGACCCCCCCCACCCACCGAGGAGGAGGAGGAGGAGGAGTTTGGCTGCCCCTCTGTACGAGTCACTGAATCTCTAGAAGCCTGATGTGTTTAATACAATGTATTTTAGAAGATGCTTGGATTCTGGGGAAGCTGTGGTCACTCTAACCCCCCCCCCAAACACCCAGTGAGTCAGGCATCCTGGGACTTACTGCGATAGCATCAAACAGATGGAAAGGAGCGAAAATCATCATAACCTTGGAAACTAAGGCAACAATTTCTCTGTTGGGGAGAAAAACAGAAGTGAAAAGGAAAAAGCCACAAAATTACAAGACAGCCCCGTATCTGCAGAGGAATCCGTTGCAAGTCCCCCTCCCGTGGAAGCTGAAACGTGTGGATTATAGCAAACACTATTTTAATACATAGAAATATATATTTCTAGGATTTTTCTTTTAATATTTTTAGAGTGGCTAAGTGAATCAGCGCATACCGATCCTGGGGATAAGGGATCCCCCCTCCCCGTACTTTAAATCGGCTGCAAGGAGCTAAGAGCAAATTTACAACTTTTTAATTACAACTTTTAACATGGAAAGGTTCATCTGAAAGAATAATCCAAGCCAAGAACCATGGGATATGTTGTATAAAAGAGAAAGTTCAGAAATGGAGTGGGGGGGGGAGAGTCAGAATTACAGACCTGTCGCTGGTAAAAATGTAAGCGACCACATCCTTGACGGCCGCCAGGAGGCCAGAAAACACCACAGCAAAGGCCCCTGGGAAAAAAAAAAGAAAACAGCAAAGAGAGAGGACCACCATGAGGACTAGAAACTCATTTTGCCTTTCCCTGACTGTGATCCCTTTAAAGACTGCTGATGACTGAAAAAGGCTCCGCCCACCACCCAGCTGACCTGCAAGGCTTTAAAGAGACATACACACCGGTGCAGAGGAGACCCGTGATGCAGGACCGCTTGGCTTGATCGGCGTTTCCGGCTCCCAACGCATTGCCCACTCGGACACTGGAGGCTACGCTCATCCCTTGCGGCAACTGCAGGACACAAAACAGGTTAAGTAATAAGTTAAGAAGAAGAGGTGGGAGTAAACCGTGGTCGAGAATCCTCTGGGATCGAAGCAATAAGGGGGCTGGTATTTTTAGGCTGGTTCGTTTGCTTCTTCCTTTATTGGTTGCTTTTATGTAAGTTGTCTTTCCATCGCTCAATTCAAGGCCTGCCTCCTTCCTGCTCCTGTTCTGCCCCAACGACCCTGTGAGGTAGGACAAGTGAATCTCACTGGCGCAGCAGAAAATCGAACCTGGATTTTCAAAGTCCTGGTCTCACATCCCTACAATTGGGTTAGCTCCAAAAGTTGTTCAATAATAAAGTTACATTCCCGCACTGTAATCTCCTTGTGGGCGGAGACTTGATTAACCTTTTGCCTCATAGCCTTCCCCTCCACCATGTCCGTTGAAAACTGTGCTAACCAAGTTTAATTCAGAGTTAAAAAGTAATTCACTCCCCGTTATTTATTAGAATATTTAGAAAAACAATTCATAGTTTCAGTAACCAGTTCATCTCACGACTTGTGCATTTCTGTTGGTAAAACACACACACACACACACAAATTTCAAAATTTCGGCTGGGAGGAATCTAAAAATGCCTTTAAAGCACCTCTGAAAGGTAACTTTTAAAAGTAACTTTAAAACTTTACACATTACACTCCTCAAAGTAGTTTCGGCCCCATGCATATATTTTTATAATGGAATTTCTTTACACTGCTGGAGGTCCATGAATAGTATCTCCATGGAAGTTACTTTTAGCAAGAGTAACTCTGCCAGTTACTTGTAACTCATTACTTCCATGCTTTTACTTTTACAGTTACTGGAACAGGTGAGTTAAAAACTTGAAAAGCTCCTCGTTAGCTGCGTGGATCCGTACCAGGTAGGCAACAGTAGCTAGTTCGTAGATGATGGATTGAGCCCCCAGTTCCACCACGCTGATCATGCCTTTATCAGGACAGAGAAAATGGGGGGTGGGGGGAAGAGTAATGATGAGTGAGAATTAAAAGCCAAACTCTTAATTAGAGCATAAGACTAGAGGACTGCAGAATGGGAAGGGATCTCTGAAGGTCACCTAGTCTAATTAGCAGGAATACTGGTCTAATTAGCAGGTGAGGTGCCACCTCTCCAAAATCTGCCACCCGAGGCAGCTGCCTCCAGCTGACCGGAATCATTCATTTCATCTGCCAGGTGGCAAATGTATTCGGGGAAGAGGGCTCCGCACCCACGCCAGCTCCTCGTACAGAAGCAAAAAATAAAGAAAATACAATCGGACTGCAGTATCCACGGGAGACGAGTTCGAAGCCCTCCCACAGATGCTGAAAAACATGGAAGTATCGAACTATATACATCCCATGGTCTCTGTCTCTCTCTAGTGGCCAGTCCTGGTAAATACACCCTAGAAAAAAGTATTTCTGTGGTTTTTTTATTTAGCATTTCAGGCAGCGGATAAGTGAATCAACGGATACTGATCCTGCGACTAGGTGGTCCTACGGTATCCTTTTTCTGTGACTCTCTGTCTCCATAAATCCCTTATACCAAAAAATAATTCAACTTTCTGGAGGCCACGGAGGGGCCTCTAAGATCTCACCTGCTAGGAAGCTGCCGATCTCGAAGGTCCACCACTCAATGCACATCATGAGCATACTGGGGACCGCGAGGCGCATGAAGGAGCCCCAATCCTGCAAACAGTCCAGGGTCCAACCTGTGAAACCAACAGGTGCCAAATTTCAGAATAATTTCTGGCCCAGATTTTTACATGTGTGTTTTGTGTCTCGCAGTGGTGCCTCGCTTAACGGGCGCCCCGTTTAACAATGAAATTGCATAGCAATGAACTTTTAACGATCATTTTTGCGATCGCATTGCGATGTTTTAAATGGGAAAAAATTGCTTTGCGATAATCGGTACCCTGTTTCGCTTACCGATCATCGCAAAGGGATGATTTTCTAACAGCTGATCAGCAGTTCAAAAATGGCTGCCGAGTAAAAAAATGGCCGCCCGCTGTTTTCTGGGACGGATTCTTCGCTTACCAGGCAGCGAAAATGGCCGCCGTATGGAGGATTGTCGCTTTAAGGTGAGTTTTAAGCCCATAGGAACGCATTGAAGGGGTTTCAATGCATTCCTACGGGGTTTTTAATATCGCATAGCGACGAAATTGCTTTGCAGCGATTTTTGCTGCACGGATTATCGTCGCTATGCGAGGCATCACTGTTCTATTTCTCCATTTGAACTGTCCTGCTGTATGCTCGGAATTTTCCCTTTCTCACTTTGCTGTTGGATCTCTTCAGCTGTAAGTAATGAAACTCTGTTCTTCATACAAAGAAGAAAGAAACCAGCAGAAGGGGGGGGGGAACATGGCAGAGGGTTGGCACAAAAATATTCTTAATTTTAGCTCACCTCCCCAGGTTTCCTTGTGAATCTTCTTCCACCAGACGTAGAGGAAAAGGAGAATGGCTTGCAAATTCTGAGATAACGTGTTAGCCCAGGCTGAGCCTCTAGGGTGGAGAGGCAGAAAAAGAGGGGAAAAGTCAGAACAAAATATTTAGCTTTTTAACATTTGCCAAAACAGCTTTTGTGGCTCTGCTGAAAATTCTCCTGTATTCAAGAAGCCTAGAAACTTGATTAATGTTTGGTGAATTTCGTTATTATGGTTGTTTTTGTTGTTTTAATCATGTAAACCAAAGGAATAAATGACGACTTACACCACGCCCAGCTCGAAGGTGTAAAGGAAGACCGAGTTCATGATGATGTTTAAGATGTTGGCGGCCACCCCCGTTATCACCTGGGGCAGAAGAATGGCCTGAAACGCAGGCAAAAAAAAGGGGGGGGAGAATAAACAAGACGTAGGAGCCCACAGTGCTGCCTCAGCAGAGGATCAGGCCCACCTCCGCCAGCTCTCCTATTCAGGCAAGAACCCCCCCCCCAAAGCCCTGCTTCCCGACTGCTCCACCAGCAAAGGCTACCAAGCGTGAGCTGCGGTTCGTACCGCAACCCGGAGCGTCAGAGTCACAACCACCCCCTCAAGTGAAAGGACAGAGAAGATACCTGGCTTTGTAAGTAGCGTGTCTGCAACTGGTAGATGAAGGCTGCCTAGAGAGGAGTGGGGGGGAAAGAAGTAGCACATTGAATGATAGAAGGACCCCCACCCCGTGGATCTTGGAAAATGCGGATTTTAATAGAAAACACTAAACATAGCATGGCCTCTGTCTCCCTCTAGTGGCCAGTTCTGGTAACTTCATCTTTAGAAATATATGTACTGCATATTTCTAGAAATGTTTCTTTTAATATTTTTAGAATTTTCACACCGTGGATAAGTGAATCAGCAGATACTGGTCCTGTGGATATGGGAGTCCTACTGTATTTTATTAGCATTTTCTATGGCCACAACCTAGCTTCTCTGCCTGGCCCTGGAGACCAACGTCACCACCCAACGCTGAAGGATGCGGCTCCAGGGCACGCCTTTCTTCCTCTCTCCTGTCCTCACGACGGTCCTGCAATGTAGGCCAGACTAAAAGAGGGCGACCTGCCCAGGAGCACACATGCCTCGCACGGTTGGCCCCTTGCCCAATGTGGCTGCACTACAACTCCCGTTGCACCCAGGCAAATGGAGGGGACGATGGGATTTGTAGTCCACAGACGTTCAGAGGGCCACGCATTCCATCTCCTACAGCAAGGGGGAAACCTGGGAGAGGCCGGTTCGAGCCCCTCGGGAGCCCAAGAAGCTGACTGCCCGTACGGGCTCGCCCTGACCTACCTCGGAGGGGTGTGAGAGAGATAAAACAGGGGCCAGAGAGACAGGCGTGCTCTCTTGAACCCACCAGAAGAGGAGAAAAGGTGTTATGCAGGTAACTAAAAAAGGAAATCAGGAATAAAATGAAAATAAACCCTAGGAGGGGGAAAAACCAACAACAACAACAGAGAAAAAGCAAGAGTGAAACTTACTGGAAGTGCAGGAATAAATATCAAGACGTAGACTTGCGTTAATCTGGAAGACAAAGAGCCGCCCGGTTTTAACGTCTTCCACTGAGATGCGAAGAACAGGCGCTGACGGGGCTCAGATCAGACCAGAGCCAAAACAGGCAAGGTCCTGAGAGGTCATCTAGTCTCTCCCCAAGCGACGCAGGGTTCTCAAGAGGACGACACCCTTGAGAGGGAGGCCAGCCGGCCGATCCTGAGGGTTGGCCCCCTTCTCAAACAAGCATGGAGAGGTCATTCCCGCCCATGTTTATTGGAAACTCGCTCCGATTTCTGCGTGCCGGTTCTCGCCATGTCCTCGGGAGCAACCAGGGGTAATCCTGCACCATCGTCTACGTGGCTGCTTTCCAAGTATCTGGGTTTATTTGCATCACGGGGGCTGGGGTGGGGGCGGCATCCAGTCCTTTTCCCTCCGGTCGACACAAAGCCCATTCTTTCAGCCATTGGACTCATGACTCCTTCCCCCCCCCGCCATCATCCCCATCTGGCCCCGGGCCAGTCGACCTACTGCATCCTCAAATTTAAAGGGGTGCCTGTCCACAGGATGTAACCCCTACCCCCGAAACAGATAAAGGTTCGGGCAGTACGACAAAATGGGACCGAACTCTTGATTCTGTCCAGAAATCTGGGAACCCAAAAGCAGTGGGTTGGCATCCTTCTTTGGCCCCAGAATCTAGCCTTGGGAGATAGACTGCTCCAGGCCAGGAGGCTCTGGGAGTGACGGTTCTGAGGATGCTCTGTTTAAACCAGGACACGGGAATCTCAGACCCTGGAGAGGAATCTCAGGCTCCCCTTACCTGGAAACCTCCGGGTCTTGTCTGCAGAGCAGCAGGATCCGTTCGGTGTTGAGAAAGATGGCCCAGCAGGGAAAGCAGAAAAGGAGCAGGATCAGGATCCCCCGCTGGAGGATCGTGCCCACGCGCTTCACGTTCCTACTGCCGTAGGTCTAGACCAAAACAGAAGCGGGAGGGGGGGGAGAGAAATAAGCATACAGCCCTTTATCGAAGAGGAATTAACAAACTGTCTGCCGCTGCCTGCACAAGAACATGCGAAAAACTGGAGCCGTTTTGCCAGTAAAAGTCTGATTCCGGACCCTTCTGGGTAAGGAGTGGTTTCTACCGTAAACTTTGGTGAGATGCTGCTAGTCAATACGGATAGGCCATTTGGGGCTTCTGGAGCCCTGAATCCTGGGATTTCCCAAGAATTCCCAGGCAGAATTCCGGCAATCGAAGCTCAGACCCACACCCGGAAATACCTACATTTCACTCGCCTGGACTAGGCCTGTGTCGGGCCTCTCATTCATGTCCAGAACAGACAGGAAGGTGCAGTGTTTTTTCAGGAGTTTCGATCTCGCTGCCTTTAAGGCGCTATTTAGGGTGCCTTCCAAAGAACTACGATTCCCAAGAAACAGCACAGAAGCTTGCTTATATATATGTATATATTAACAAAAGGAAGTCCAGGCCCAAGACAGCTCCATAGCCTCCGAGTTAGGCCTTAGTCCAGGTGAGTGAAAGGCAGGCGGCCTGTAGGCTTGGACGTGTCACTTTTCCCGACTACAACTCCCAGCATCCCCCACTCAGCATGAATTGGTTAAAATAAGGAGCAATGCGATGTTGTAAGAGTGAGTAAATCAGAGAGGTACAAAAATCAGCACAACAGAATCCATTGTTACCACTCTGTGCAGTCAATGAAAAAACCCCTGATGGAGAGGAAGGATGATGGGGGCAACCACCACCATTTACCTGGGACATGAGGGTGTCACAGACAGACGCCAGCCCGGTTCCGATGGAAATGCCGATGACGTTGACCACCTGGCAGGGCAGGAGCAATAGGGACCGAGAGAAAGAAGTAAGAAAATAGAGAGAATTGACCATAAGAATGTTGCATGTTTTTTAAAGGCTTTTGGAGACCGAAAACCTAGACTACAACTCCCATCATTGCCCCAGCAGCTGGGGCTTCTGGGATTCGGAGTCCAACGATGCCCTGAGGTGGCAAAGCAGTCAAGAAGAGAGCCAGCTGTGCAAATAACAAAATAATAATTTATGGAGGTTGGAAGTACTGTAACCCCTTATATTTAATGCGGCGATGTTAAAACATTTGTTTTGGGGGAAAAAACAAGGGAATTTTTTTTAAAAAAAAAACAAACATTTGGAGTATAAGGTTAAGATACAGCAGGTAGGACCCCCGCAACCACAGGAGATGGGCCGAACTCCCCCCCACCAGCAGATGCTGAAAAACGTGGATAAGGATGCCCCAGCAGCTGGGGCTTCTGGGATTCGGTTTAAAAAAAAAAAACCAAACATTTGGAGTATAAGGTTAAGATAACAGCAGGTAGGACCCCGCAACCACAGGAGATGGGCCGAACTCCCCCCCACCAGCAGATGCTGAAAAACGTGGATAAGGATGGCGGTTCAGTCCTGGCATAAAAAAGATCTGGGAGATGATGAGAGGAGAAGGATGATGGGGGCCAAAGCAAACCATAAAGGGTGGACAGTCTAAAGGTTACATACCGATACGGCCAGCGTGACCGCGTCTAGCTCGGCTTTTCCCAGATGGCCGCAGAAGATGGAGCTGACCACGCTGATCAGGAAGCCCAGCAGCTGAGCCACAAACTGGAAAAGAACAGCACAAGCACGCTTGATCATGAGAACTAGAAACCTGCTTTTTTGTTTTTGGCAAAGCGGGGGGGGGGGAAAGAGTATATAAAGTGGAACAAAATCCAAGTTTTTTTTTCCAGGAAGTTGGAACTCTGCATATCAGCAGCCAAGTTAAGGAGGCAATCCCTTTACACTCGGTTACTCAAGAGTAAGTTCTCACTGAATTCTGCTGGACCTGAAAATAAATGTTGTAATCCAGGTAGGGGTGTTTCCAAATGCCAGCTTGTCGGCCAGCCATACCCTTTCAGAGGAAACTCCATCCTATTTCTTACCCACCAATTTTCTTTTACGTATTTAATCACATCCAAATTCTGGGAGTTTCCCCGAGCACACCAATATCCCCGTTTTATATACTGTTGGTGCCAGGAAAAGGGGTCACAGCATTCCAACACAGCATTCACCAAATTGACCTAGCACTGCAACCTAGACACCTAGCTAGCAAGTACTAGTTTTCAGCATGTGGGGTGTTTTGTTGTTTTTTTTTTTTTGGCTTCATTTTTATTTTTGGAGTATTTTTTTGCTAGGAAAGCATTGGCTCATTCTATTCTCCACTTGTGAGTGCCAACAGAGGAACTCGCGTGTGTTTTTTGGGTGCTTCGTCGTTTGAGTTGGCTCTCGAGTTCCGGAAAACAAGAGGCTCTTCGCTCGAGTGCTTTTTGTACCCAAGCGATAAAATCCAAGTCGAGCTCAAACAGGCACGGACAAGGTCGTCTTATGCAACCTCCGCCCGGCCGGGCAGGTGAAGATGATCCTCTTGAGCAATGAACAGTCATCGGCCGAAGCCGGAGGTCAGGCGAGCAGAGGGAGAGAAACAGAAGCGTTTAGTTATATGCCCGCAGGACGAAAGGGTGAGTTGATTCACCCGGAACCGATCCGCTTCGAATCTATGGGCCTGAACCACACTGGTTAGAGTAGGCCCATTAAATCAATGGGATTTACATCAGGGAGGTCTCACCGATCCACAATTTGCCTTTAATGCAACAACTGTATTTTAACGGAACTACTTTATTTTCTTAATAAAATAACAAAAATAATTCTTACAGAGGACTGGTCTCTGGATCACAGCAGGACCTGCCCCTAAATCCAGTGGAGGTTGGAAGAGGTCACTAAGTTGCTACTATATTTGGGAGGTCCTACCTTACAAGGCTGTTGTGCTGTCTCAGAAAACACCAAGTCCAGGCTCGGTTGCTTGGCGAGGTTTTAAGGTCAGGATGAGGCCTAAAGGACCTATACCTCAGGGACAAAGGTGGTCGTTTGGCGCCCACACTCTGAATAGTGGCCCTTTTTTCCACCCCCAAGACATACTGAATTTCCTTTCGGGTGTCGGGAATCCAGACAATAGCCAGAGAGAGAGAGAGACAAATATAAGGTCATCGCATGCGTTTCAGGAAGCAATAGGGACTGGAAACTTGAAATCCCAAATCCTGGTCAGGTTTCTCAAGAGCACCGTTATGCGCTAAGCATCCCGAAGAAAGCCTCCTGACATATTTAAAGGGGAGAGGAAGACTAAGATCATTCTACCTCCCCTTTAAAAAGCTCCACTGGCTATGGAATTTTGGCAGCTATCATTTTCCCCCCCTCAAAAATACCCCGAGGATACTCTCTTGTAAGCCCTCGTGGTCTTCCTCTGACTGAGATGCTCTGTGTTCGAGACCTTTATTTTTGGAACATCACGACCGAGCCTAGAAGGTTCTCTGGGAGCAATTGAGGGCGGGGGGCATGGTCTCAATAGACAAACTTCTACCCTGTTGTCAGATACCGCAGAGGAAGAACAGCGAACAAAAAAACACAGAAAAAAATGGAATTTTTTCCCCGTCTCCTGTGATGTAGCGCAAGGCACTGTCTCTCAAAAGGGCCAGCCGGCGTAAACTTCAAACCAGGCAGGAAAGCCCCAGAAATTCAGCAGGATTGACCGGGGGGGAAGGGGGGCACACAGGCTGTACTAGCTTTAATTTTAATTCAAAGCGTTGAGGACTAGAATCTTACCTATTCACTAGGAATCTAGAACATCATCCTTCCACCGCTCCGCTAAAGAGGACTTCAGCCCTGTCATTACACACGTTCATCTTAACAACAAATTCCCCAAGACTGGATTTTGGAGACTGCAGGTCCCATCAGTCAGTATTGTCAAGAGGGTGGGAAGGATGGGATTTGCAAACGGGATCCCACCCACCTCAGGGCATGGGTAGCCCTGCGAAGGTTCGGATTCAAGGATTTGGGAAAGGGGCTTCAGGGACTACAAGACCCAGAATCCCCCCAAAAGATTTTGCAAGGCTGTCACGCCTTTGCCTGAGGAACAGGAAAAGCGGTTCTGCCGCTCATTTGGGAGGCTTGGGTGCGGTTTTCAGCCATGCTTGCTGAGTGGATTAGGGGTACAGTAGTCCAAAACATCCCTACCCCCACAAAAAAAACCCAGTTCTGGGCTGGGCTCAACCCTTATTTAGGTGGCAAGGAGTGGGAAGGAGTTGGATTTTCGGGTGGAAATAATGCAATCCTTTCTGAGCATTGTGGGGGGCAGCAAAATCCTTATTTACAGGATGCCGGAGAGACGGGGAGGCCACCAGGGGAAAAAAAGCATGTTTCGGTGCCCTCGCTCAAGACATTTGCAGGCAAGAGGAGCGATGGGGCTGAGGATCGGCTCTGCCTGCAGACTTCACTTCCCGCAAAGCCATAAACGGGGTCAGGATGCGACCTTTGGGCCCCAGCAGGCCGAAGACTTTGCTTCCTCTTATCAGGCGGCTCCTCCAGAAAAGGTGGGGATCCCTCTCCAGAAGGACCGGAGAGCCGAAGGGTGGGGTTGACCCACATGTAGGCACGCACACACCCACAGGCACAGATCAAGGGGGAAAAACCCCACCGCTGTGGTCAGGGTGATCTCGTAAAAACGCCCAGGATAAAAATGTCCAGATCTGGTTCCATTTAAAAATGTTATAAATAAATAAAATAAACTCCATAAATAAGTGTTCGGGTTGGGACACGGAGGGCGGCCGGGGAGAGGCTTCGAAGGAGTCCAAGCAGATGTTCTGGGCCACAACACCCAGCATCCTTCTGACAACCTGGTTAGGGGATGATGGGATCCGTAGTCCAAAAAGGGAATACCCAAAGCTCCCAAATCTGCTCCTCGGTTCCCTAAAGTTCACCCCATTCAATCTCTAACCTCTCTCTCCATATATGTACATAAAATTAAAGCATACATAAAGTTGTCTCCTGTTGTATCAACATCTCAAGACAGCGTAAGGCACAACCACCGCACGATGATATTAGAAGTCATTGGAAGTATCTACACAAAACATTGAATTATTATTTTTTAAAAGCAACATCTTCCACCAACATCTGATTTTCTTTGGAGATCTTAATATTCCTATTTTTTAAATCTGTCTCTCTCTCTCTCCCGTTCTTCCACCTCCTCCTCCTCCCGCCGCCGCCGCTTACCACCGAGCCCCCGATCTGGACCAGCTCCCGGGCTTCTCGCCCAGCCCCGACCGGGAAGAGCCGCCGGAGCTGCCGGCCGCCTGGGAGCCCTCGGGCGGGCGAGGCTTGGGGCTCCCCCCTTCCCGCCGGGCCCGGATCCTCCGGTAATATTTTGGCTGCATTTCCCAGAATACTACCTGCCGGCCGGCCTCCCCCAACGGCAGCCGCTCCGCTCCGCGCCGAGGGACGCCCGCCGAGCCGCCACGTGCAGGGAAGGGGGAATCCCCGCGCCCATTGGGCGGGGCGGAACGTGACGTCACGTCAGGCCCCGCCCACCAGGAGGTAGAGAGATTTAATTCGTTCATTATTCCATTTAGTTTACAATTATTCTTAGGGTTGCGTTTAAATCATCGGCATGATCATTATTCCTATAGATTACTATGGGGAATATTATTATTAAAAAATACCAAACACAGTCAATCAAAATTATAAAAACTTTGACTGATACCAGTATTCTATAACGGATACAAATTATTATTATTTTTAAGTTCTTATTTATCTAAAACATAAACATAAAATACACAAATCAAAATACAATATAACTGTATTCCCCACCACCATAGTGGTGGCGAACAAATTATTATTTTCCATGGCCAGGGTGTGGGTTATTTATTTATTATTGCACATTTAACTAATTAGCGTACATAATTATTAATTAATAATTTGTGATCATTAATTGTTTAATTGTTTTGATATTCTGTAAGCGGCCCAGAGTGCTAGAATATACCAGATGGGCGGGATATAAATCGAACAAACAAACAAACAAACAAATAAATAATATATTATTACTATTACAGTATTCACACAAGATTATGCTTTTAATTTGTTATTACTGTATGTTATTGTGACCCTCATCATCCATGGTCTCAATTTAATTGATTATATGTACGCTGTTATTTCCGAGGCACACTTCTTGATTCCTTTAATTATTATTTAGGGTTGCTCTGTGTCTGTATTTGTACAAACCGGTATTTTTCCCCATGCAAGGGTTGGTTTAATCCTTTTTCTTTAAAAAAATCATGATAGATTTATTACTTTGTTAAGTTTATTGGACAGACGGACCTCATTCTTTCATTTATTTGTAAAGGAACGTTAACGTTTATACAGCTTTTATTTCTTTCCTGGATCACGTTTACCTAACACAGTAAAATCCCTAACCCTTTTCATTCCCTTCTCAAGGCAAGGTTGTGAGTTGGAGCAGGCCAAATAAACTGTGCTTTCCCCCTCACTGCCATAGAACCCTGTCTCTCCTTCAAGAAAATAAAAAATAAGCTATTTTACCGCCGGCTAACAGTGGTTCGGAACTGCCCTGTTGACTCGAGAGGATGTCCCGCTGGCTTTAGTCTAAATAAGCATGATTTCTATTGCAAATCTTGGCTACCAGCTCAGTCCTTATTATTTTGACTTCCTTTGTTCATCGGAAAGGGGGGGAAAGACATCACGCCGCAGTCCAAAATCCATATTTGAAGATAATATAGATGTTGGCGCATTTCTCAAGAAGGTTCGCTATGAAACACACACACCTCCCTTCGGCACCTCTTTAAAAAAACACACACACAAATCAAGCACCACAACACATCCGTGGTCGCACAACGCCATTTCTAAGAGAAAAATCCTTCCGCTGTTAAAGAAGGAAAGAAAGCACTTTTTAAACGTCTGCTCCGAGAGAGCCGTTGTTCTTCACCAAACAAGTCAAGGCTAAGCACTGGAGTTGTGTGTACACATTTTGCACACAGATCTGCCCCCAGAGGTCAGGGTTACAACGTCTAGGAGCCCGGCTGTGCGTGTGCTTGTTGCTGTCGCTGCACATCAGTTCTGCACAAAAGTGACAGCCTGTGGCCTCACACCTGATTTCTCAGAGATCTGGTGATGTTACAGGAACGAGGACTACCGACCCCATCTGCCACCCTTCACACCTTTTTAACTGCGGTTTGCAGAAAAAGGGTTCAGGGAGGGGGGATAGGTCTTGAACAGATCCTTACATGCTCCTCTTGTGGTGCAATGCAAAATATCTCTGCGGGTTCTTGGGTGGGCTGTCAAGAGCTGTTTGCTTTGCAAAAGACCTGCCCCAAGGGAAAATGAAAAGACTTAAATTCCTCAATCTGCTGGGGATTAAGACTACGGCCTCCATACCTGAGTGGTATTTAAGGGCTACTGAGATTAACTCCGCATTATCGCTACAATGTTCTCCATTACATTTTGCAGGTTTCCTGTTTAATTTTCTGCTTGCTAAACAGATAACTATGGCACCTCTCAACGGGGTGTAGCATGTTGTTTTGGTATTTTTCTCCATTACATTGAAACCTCTATATCTCAGTGTTTTAAAAAATATATATATACAGTATAGACAAACTTGTGAGAATGACAACCATGATTTCTTTGTTTCCTGCTATTTTTCATTTCTTCTTCTGATCCTTTACATCTTCATCTCTTTTTCCACAGTTCCGATGCAGTTCTCATTCCCTATTTCAAAAGCAGGCTTTAGCACCATAAAAGGCCACCACTTCCTGTAGCACATTTCCACATTTCATCCCCTACACACATCAGGAGTTTTTGAGATGAATCTTTCCACGGCATAGTGGCGGTGCCAACCTTGAACGACCTCAGGTTATCTCTGGTTGCACCTTCTCGCTTCCTGGAGAACTTGATTTACAAATCCAAATTAAAGAGAAATAATTAACACATTTCGCCTCTTTCTGACTCAAGGTACAAGGCGACTCAGTGGAAAGGAATTTCACCGTGCAAACCGACCTTGGGAGATTTCCCAAATTATTGCAATTCATGGGCCTAAGTGGACTGTGGATGCTTCAGGCGAATCTCAAACTAGCTACCTTTGACCTGCATCAGGAGTAAATTCACAGAGTTTGACTGTTTATTAACATAATCTGGGTTTAAAAAAAAAAAAAAGCATTTAAATGGACTGGCTTGCCCAGACAGCTATGGATCTCCTTTAAAACCAAGAAGAGAAAAAGCTTGCAGACCTTAAAAGATGAATGGAATTTATTCGGTCAAACCTTTTAATGCCGTTTGAAACCTGCGCCCGCCTTCGTGGCTCGAGTCACCCAACCACGAATGCCAAAATAGAAACGTTGACAGCCTTTGAGTGCCACAAAATGTCTGTGGCCTTCCCTAAAAGAAACCGAAAGTTGGAGAAGTTGATTTTTTTGAAGAGACAGCATCCCGAATTATTCAGAACTTAAATTCGCGTTTTGTTATATATGGGAAAAGACAGTAAGCTAGGAAAAGTTGAATGCAGCAGGAAGAGAGGAAAAGCAGATATGAGATGGATCGATCTAATACAGGAAACCTCAATCACACCCACTAGCCGGTTTTTCAAAACCTACGGTATAAATCCGGCAAAACATAATCCGAAAAACCCAAGCAGCATTTCTGACAGCAGGCCTCGCCGTTCCTCCACGAGGGCTAGTGCCTTGATTCATTCTGTTGTCTCAACTGGCCCGGGTTGCCTTTCCCAAGCTGGGGGATGTGTGTTTTTTTTCTTGCCAAACTGCAGGAGTCCGGCTCTGAGTAAGGCCGCTCCTGATATATCTGGCCGGTGTCCCCGTCTGCGTCAAGGAGATCTCAGGAGCAATTCGACCCCGTGACTGTTATTTTGGATTTCTCTCGAGCCTCTCTCTGCCAAGTTCCCGCCGGTCTTTGGCACCCCGGGGGCCGTCCCCAAGCGCCTGGATTGGTCACACACACAGAGAGAGAGACTTTACTCCTCAACCCTTTGCCCAACTTTATAGAAGCGTGATGATCGAGGAGGAGAAAGGCTGATCCAGGACAGCTCGGAGCCATCAACCTGCACGGATCCGCTCAGGCACGTCTCAAATCGGCCTGGATTCGCCCTGCTCTCGATAAGGAAATCCACCCACTGATGGATTCGGGGGCCCCCGTTGGTGAGAATCCACCCCCTGGCGCTCCGGGCATCAAGCCAGCTCCGTGGAGATGCGGCAACTTATGCCGACTCTTTCCTTCCAACTTCTGGGAGGTGGCGAAGAGGATCCTGATCTTAGCAGCACCCCTGGTAAGTCCTGAGACCGGCCCAACAGTTTCCTCACCGCAACGCCGGATCCCGCTCTGTTGCTTGGATTTAAGCTGCCCTTTCCAAGACCTGACGTGCTGTGCCAGCCGGCACCTCAGGTCCAGCATAAGACCCTCCTGTCCAAATGAAGATGCTTTTCAATCTCAGGAGATCGGCCAACGTAGTCCTCATGGGGAGAAAGTCTTATGGAAACTGGGAAGGTCCAGGTTTGAATCCTCCTTTGGCCACTACAACGCTTGCTAGGCAACCTGAAGCAGCCACTCTCTTGTGTAGCCTGATCTACCTCTCGGGGCAGTTGTAAGGAGCAAGATGGAGAGACAGGGAGGTGCATTTGAAATGACAGGATATCCATATAGCTTGTAAGAATAAAAAGACAATAAATAAGAGATTTATTTTGCAGGTATTTTAACTGGGTGCTTGGGGAATTCTTCATTTCTTTTGCTAAATTTACTTTAGCCTGGCTCTGAGTATGATTTATCCCCACTTGGTGGGGCCAAGGGGGGCTGTTCACTGTTTTGCTTCAGGCAGCAAAATGTCTAGGGACGTCCCTGGCATGACCCACATGTTTGGTAGCAATACCAGGTGAAATTGACAGGGCAGAGGAGAAATTACAGCCACAAGCGTTATTTGAATGGATTCCTTCTCTTTCCTGTCGAAGATCTGTACTGGAGAGCAGCCTTCTTGGTCTCTGCTCTGTCACTGTTTTACTAAAACAACATTTCCCTCAAAGCTCTGTTACCTCCAACAAATCTGGCGCTGCCGCCTGAGTCTAAGCTGCCCTTTCAAGACCTGAGGTGCTGCGCCAGTTGACAATTCAGGTCTAGCAAAGTTCGTTCTGCCCAAACAAAAATGCTTTTTGCTACCAAGATGTGGCGAGATCCCCACACCGAATATATTGATCTATTGCTAAGCGGTGGTGGTGGTGGTGGGCCCTGAGTACCTCCCGACACTACTGAATTACAACTCCCATCATGCCTCGCCATGTCAAACCCTCGCTTGAAGTCAAACCATCTCCAGAAGGCTATGTGGGTTTCCAGTATGCTTAAACTTT